AGAATTTTGCTCATTGTATATAATTAAAGAGAACTACTAACATCTTCATGAAGCATATCATTCAGTTTTAGTACAGCACAACCAACTTGAGCTATAGAAATGGCAGAAGCTATCCATGATTTATCTTCAAAGAGGTAAACTGGCTGTTTTTTCCACTTCATTTGCTCGTGTACAGTAACAAGTTTCCGAACTTAACATTTTTAAACATTATAATTCCAGAATTGCAGTTGTGACTGGAGCCAACAGAGGAATTGGATTGGAAATATGTAGGCAGCTAGCATCTAAAGGAGTTATATATGGTCATATTAACAGTGTAGATGAGGGGAGAGGCACTGAAGCCATTGAGAAACTAATAAAACTTCGGAGTTTCTGATGTTTTGTTTCATCAGCTTGATGTAACCAAGCCTTCCAGTGTTGCTTCACTGACAAATTTTATCAAGAACCAATTCGGAAAGCTTGATATTTGGTAATGAAGGGAGTTTAATTTCTTCGGTATAAAAATAAGGAAGAACGTATACCAATTCGGAAAGCTTGATGTAACCGAGCATTTCTTATTTTGTGATATTTATTGATGACTATTCTCGAATGACATGGTTATTTTTGCTTAGAGATCGTTCGGAGATTCTAATCAGTTTTTACAGTTTCTCATCAAGAGATTAAGACACAATTTGGTTTTTCTTTGTTGAAGAATGATTCAAAGTTGACTTCGTCTTTAGTTGTTATTTTGTTAGTGGAGTAGTGGCTAATAAATCTGAAATTAGTTTAGATTTTTATGGTAGTGGAGTAGTGGCTAATAAATCTGAAATTAGTTTAGATTTTTATGGTGATTAAGTTGTTTTGTAAGCCTATATAAATAATAAATCTGAAATTAGTTTAGATTTTTATGGTGATTAAGTTGTTTTGTAAGCCTATATAAAGGCACTTCTAGTTGATGAATAATATAGTAAAAATTATCTCCTCTAATTTCCAACATTCTTTGAAAATTTTGTGCTCTAATAATGCTGCTGAATATATGCAAAAAGCTTTTCAAATTTATTGTTTTTTACACGCTATTACCTATTAGGCATCTTGTGCTCACACACCACAACAAAATGGTATTGCTGGGCGTAAGAATCTTCATCTTTTTGATATTGCACGAACATTATTACTTCATATGCATGTACCAAAGTGTTTCTAGAGTGATGCCGTGTTAACTGCTTGCTATCTGATTAACCATGTGCCTTCAATTGTTTTAAATGGTCAAACACCTATATATATGCTATATAATGATAAGAATAAAAAGATTTTTGACATATCACTTAAAGTTTTTGTATGCCTTTGCCTTGTTCAAATTCTTGACAAAAGGCGTGATAAATTAGATCCTCCGACTACAAAATGTGTTTTCTTAGGATACTCAAGAACTCAGAAGGGCTATCGATGTTGGAATATTGAAACCAGGAAATACCTCGTTTGTGTTGATGTTACATTTTTTTTGAAGATACTCCTTATTTTACATCATCCACATCTAATGTAGATGCATTTTTACCTATACCAGTTATTCCTAAGGAATCAACGACATTACCGCCATAGGCAATAAAATCTCTACAAGTTTATCAATGGCTCAAAAAGAAAAGTACACAACTTTTCATTATACTGTTGTAGATCCTGCCCAAGATAAGGCCCACATAAAGTCTACATGAATTAGATGTGACACCTCCACTTTAGTCTCACATGGACTAGTATGAAGAAATATTAGTAGCTTAAATAGAGAAGCCCAAAACCCAAGAACAACTAGTGCTAGTATTTTGACAGCCAACATCGAGTTGCTCTCAGTGGGTCTCGCGGCTTGCACGCGCCAACGGGTCCGTGGGCCTGGGGATGAACAATAACCTGATGCTACAGTAATCCGAGGAGAGAGAGAGAGAGAGAGAGAGAGAGAGAGAGAGAGAGAGAGAGAGAAGT